CCTACACGCGAAGTTATTATTAAAGAAAAATTGGAAAACGGGAGGTGTCGTCATAGCCCTCACATGACTGTTGAATTGTAACTGGTTTTAGAACTGGTTTTGAAATATTTCTCACAGCTCTCTTATAACCTTTGAAATATAATCGGTTTAAAAAATGGTTTTGAAAGTGTTGTCACAGCTCTTTCATGACCTTTAAAATATAACCGGCTAAAGAACTGGTTATGGAAGTGATGCCACAGCTCTCTCATGACCGTTTAAATTGATGGGGTGTATAACCGGAGTCATTGCTCTGTCATGAGGTGTGGGGGGGGGGCAAAAGTGGGGGGCTAAAGTGGTGGGGGTGATGCCATGGGTCTCTCAATTATATACTTCTATTTGCTCTTCCCCATTCATCCTGCTATTGAATATTATGGCCAAATGGTGGTGGGTAGAGGAAAACTTTTTCTACCAGAAGATATTGATTATATCGAGACCTGGAGAAGCAAAGTTCTTGAAGCCATTGAGGGTTTCTGGAACGACCTCAGTGGTTTTCGCAGTTACCTCAGGCTCTATATCTGTTGGATGGATGCCTCACCTCGTAAATGTACCCTTCCGAAAAGTAATTACCTGATCAGAAGTCGGCGGATTTTCAACTACACTTGCGGGAGCGGGAGGGAATTGTTTAGTTCCCACCAGTCCTCACGCTCGCATCATTGATTACTGTTTTGCAGCCACTAACATCCGTATCCTTCCAAGGCAGTGCTGTTTGATGGTGGATATCACTGCTTCATTGAGTGTGTGATGGATGCGAAGCAATGTAGTGGCCATTCGTCGCACCTTTGACTTGCATGGCCTATTGGCACTCACATAGTCCATCACACACTGGATACGGGAAGTGTGTTGTCTTGCCGACTGGATCTCCGACTGGATCTAGGCGTCCATCTTTTGTAAACGCCGCTTGGCCCTTCCAGTCGGTGATACTGTTTTAATAGGTCGTTCTGGTAGATAGGACTGAGCCACGTCATACACGGCACAGTTGATGTGCCAGGTGTCATCCCCTTCCGGAAGTGTTCGCCGAAGTGATTTATCCATCCTTGCAAGGTCTTGGGGCCGCAGAGCCTTTATGTTGAGTTGGCTCCTGTGGTTCCTGATTTCGCTCATCTCAGGAAGCACACGGTCCCCTCCCTCGTTATTAAGCAGGATGGGTACAGCCTATTGTTCCTCTATTCTAGGTAGAATATTTCTGACGATCCCAAATCATTAGTCATGATTATTACCTATTCACGCAAAATTTCAAATTTCTGAATCAAATATTGATTGGCAAAATAAATAGAAACAAAATCAGTGATTTTCAGTATTTTTATTATATTACAGAAACGGCTGAACTTTTATCAGTTCGCAAAACTCCATATTGAAAAGTTTCAAATTACACAACTTTCTACTTATTCGATCAACATTTTATCTCTTACCGTTTAGTAAATAGCAATACTATCCCTATGAAATCGGCGGGACCATGTATATCATCCTTTAGTGAAGTCCATAATACGATACTCATAGTGTAATAGGGTCAATATTCTTCCGATATTTTATTCAGTGGAGGTGAAATTATGGATGCAAGAGAGCTTTATTGCAGAACAATTTCATGCTATAGGCGACTGAATTTAAGATCACAGCGCCAAAGTGGCCGATTATGGAACTATATGAGAGTACATTGTTTTGAAATAGTTCATTTGCTTGTGTGCATTATTAATATCTTTCTGTGAAGATTAAAGCAAAGGAAACTTCACTACTTCGAATACATGATATTCGCAAAATTAAAATGCCCCAATTTGAGGTTACGTTATTTAATAATAATAATAATAATTTATTCACAACTATAAATATGCATAATACATTTCATGAATCAGATAACCAATATTAGTTGCAAAAAGGGGTTGAATTAAAATTGATCCTAGTTCAACCCCTGGAGTTATATGAATTAAAAAAATAAAATATTTCCACAATGTAAATGTTACCAGGTTGCCTTTTGAAGATTGAAAATCAGTTAATACTTCATGTATATAGTTCAGTATTCCATGACGAGATTCTTGTATGATTTTTTGAAAGTATCCGGTTTCAAAGATTTCATTTCATATGGCAGTTCATTAAATAATTTAAATACATTATAAGTGAATGATCGTTGAAAAAACTGTGTTTGATGAGGTGGGGGGGAAATATAACTTTTGAATCTTAAATTCAACGTATGTACATCTGTTCTGTATTTTATTTTATTACATAAATAAGGAGGGCGTTTAATGAATATAATATTATGGAATAAATTCACTGCATGGATTTTACGTCTTTCTTCCATGCTCAACCACTGGGTTTCCTTCAATTTGAAGGAGATACTTTCATATTTGCGAATGCCATAGATGAATCTGAAGCATGATTTTTGAACTTTCTGGATTCTTTCACTATCTTTCTTATCTATACACGGTCCATATACAGCATCGCAGTAATTAAAGTGGCTCAGCACCAGTGAATCTATTAATTTTATTTTCAATGACTCTGACAACAAATGGCGATTAGGGTACAACATTTTCAAGCTACCATACGCTCGTTGGATACATTTATTAACGTGCGGCTTGAAACGTAAATCAGTATCAAATTCGACACCAAGATTTCTTGAATTTTTGGAGCACTGCAAAGAATTATCTTGAATATTAACACTAAACACCGATTCTACCAACTGCTTTTGTCTACCGAATATTAATACTGATGACTTTGATGCATTCAATTGTAAATTATGGTTATCTGATTGATGCGATTTCGAATTTCGTTCCCATTCGGTAGTAAAATAAATATTGCAAATCAAGTGGAGTGAATATGATGTTGGAGTTCACAGAGTTGGTATCTGAAATGTATACATATATTGCAGTAGATGTATCTATATATGTGTTTAAGAAAGCGAAAAAGTTCTGAAAGCTGGATGTATGTGCAAATAATTGATCTACCTAGTAGGTATAGGAAAAATCGAACATATTTATGTGCTTTGCCTTTGACTTTTGAGTAACGATTTGATTTTCCCAAATTCCTACTCTTACTTTCCCTTCTGGAATAAAAAGCCACTTGATTCAATCCCAAAGTTGAGAGAGAATCTTTCAATTAAATTATCAATTTTTGTGAAATGAAGTGAGAAAACGTTCATGAATAATATGTTAAACCGAGCAAACTAGAAAAATATCACAATGACCAGTGATAAAATACATGGACACTTTAATTGAACAAACATTCAATGTACTTTTCATTAGTTAGTTGAATATCCGCAAGAGGCGTATCGCTTATTTTGAATCGTCTATAAGTACCTACACATAAACCCGTGTCTACCCTGATTGTTGTTGTTCTAAAATTGTTCTATTCATCATTCCGTTGCCCCCTTACGAGCAACCCTCAGAAGTCTTCGAGAGACTTGTGCGAGCAGATAAGCTGATCTTGAGATATTACCACGTGAACAAAAATCATGTCAAAATTGTCTGCATCAGTGCTTAGAAATCTTTAACCTAGTTTATTGAAAATAATGAATGCAAGAAAATTGTTGAAGCAAGGGGTAACAGTTTAGATTTTATCTTTGAACTGGAACATTTTCCATAATCTCATTGATGATTGACATAATCAGTATTTAATGATGAATTTAAGTTCAGATGAACGTTTTTTTTTATATTCTGTATTGTAGTGCATATTTACATTTCAATTCTTTTCATATTTACATATCCATTTAGCAAATACTGAGTCCGGCTGGTAGGTATGGAAGATTTGAAAGTGATATGAACCTCATGTTCTAGGAATAGGTAGTGTCTACTGGACACGAGTTGCCATTTTAGTCGTCACGCAACCGTGGTGGATTGAGAAATGCAAGTTTGTTTGATTCCGCAATTATTTTAACGTTGGCCGTCACGGTCGAGATTCGAAGTTTAGAACAATTATGAAAAGCTTTGAAAGGCATTCACCCACTTCAATATATGTTTCAAATTTCGGAACTCGACCGTGATGGCTAACGTTCAAATGTGTTTGAATCACAGAACGACTCGTTTCAATGAAGTGTTGTGAACAAACGCGATGCTCAATCGACCACGGCTGCATGGCGACTGAAATGACTACTCGTGGCCAGTAGATACTACATATTCCGAGAACATGAGGTTGATATGCACCATACTTGGCGTCACTTTCAAATCTGACATACCTCCCTGCTGCACCCTGTATTTCCAGTTCATTCTCTGTTATTGATGAGTAGCTAAATATAGGATAATCTCCCAAAATGATATTCCCAATGACTGTAAAAATATGTTTGGCAAAGTAATGTTTTGTCAAATGTAATAATAAGTATTATATATATTTCACCAAAAAAAATTGATGTTCATAATGTGAAATACCGAAAAAATGGAGAGAAGGATAAAATCATCAAAACAGCAAGCTCATCTTGTTCTCATTTTCAAAAATTTGTTTCCAAAGGATTATAACTCTGGATAAAGTTGACCCAAAATATAACTGGCTTCTGCAGGTCAAAGATTATTTTGTAAAGGCAGGGCAAGTAGACAAATGACAGGCTATTTTGAATAGCACCTCTACTGACTTGCTCTATCTCTATATTTTCCAAAGTCTGCCTCGACAAATTAATACACAGAACTATCTGACCGCTTCGCTTCCAATACATACAGTAAGGATTTTAGCACAGCTGAAAACATGCAACAAGAAATTTCTGAAATTTACGTTCAATGGTTCGAATTACTTCATCAACAGTGAAGAACATTGCAGAATATGCAACATGGATTATTATGTTTGTTTACATTCTGATATATCCATTTTCATTCTTTTTCTCTCATTCAATTATATCTTCAAGTCAATGTCAGGCCTTGTACCTTGTGTGTAATAAATCATCATATTACACCACCTCTGTAAAATAGGCTTAAGCTCCACCATTGTAATAAGAATTGTAATTCTTTTCATGTACAATAAATTATCTATCTATTTTTTTCCATTTTCAGGTTCAACAGTTACGTGAAGATGTCCAGAAGTCGGTAGAAGTAAAGTATGCACTTGAAGTCTACTCTGCTATAGATAAAAATAATTATGTAAAATTCTTCAAACTTGTGTACTCTACAACATATCTGAATGCTTGTATTCTGATGAGATATTTCACGCAAGTAAGAATCGCAGCTATTAAAACGCTTTTAAGATGTTATTTGCCAAGGTCTTCAAGAACTACTTACCCCTTAATTGACCTCAAAATTCTTCTTGCCTTTGATGACGTACAATCAACAATGGATTTCATTCAAACATATGGCCTTTCAATGAATGAAGAAAATACTCATGTTATTTTAGAAAAAAACTCATTTGCCACACCAGATTTTCCATATGTCTTGGACAGGTCACTCATCGTAGTGGAATCAAAAAGATCATTTTCTGTTGGGAGAATAATTTGTGGTAAAGGATTACAACCAAAGATATATGAAAATCATTCACCACAGAATAGTTTTGATCAAAACGGATTCCTAGTTTGTAAAGATATTTTAGAAGAATCAGAATTAGAACAAGCAAAATTGAAATTACTGATGGAACTCAAAGGAGAAATATTATCTTCAGATGAAGATAGCACTAAAATGATTATTCCTCGTCAAAAACCGATCCCTTCTGGGTTAACCACGTCTAATATATTTTCTAAAAACGAAATTCCTTGTAAAGATGTTAATGTTTTTGAGCAACTTGTTGAGCCTGTTTCAACTTCATTTAGATCAAGCCAAAGTATTTTTGTCAATCATCAACAGAACTATATCTCGTCCCAACTGCAACCTGATCTTGCTGTTCGTAAGAAAGATTTTCAAATTCCTTTTCATGATTTAGAGGTTGATCCGTCAATATCTACCAATATTTTTTCCAAACCATCAGAAACTCTGATGCCAACTATTGCAGTTAGCCAGGTAAATTCTGTATGCAATTTGATCCCTTCATCCGAAAAAAAAGCAATAGATGAGGCTTCACTCATAACTTCTCAAACTGTACCTCAGAAAGTTGATATGTTCCAAGCAGCATTTCCTAGGCCTGAAAGTTACAGGTCAAACATGGTAATTTCATCATCTCATAATGCAGTCATTGAATCTGTTGAAATTCGAACAAAACCCATGGATCAAAAGAAACAGTTCGAAAATGAAAGACAAAGGCTAGAAGTCATCAAAAAAGAAGAAGAAATGCAATTGTTGAAGGCTAAAAGAAGGGATGAAAAGTTGAGAGAACTAAAAAAGAGAAGACAAGAGGAGGAGCTTGAAGAAAGAATGAAAAAACTACAGAGGGAGGAAGAAACCTTAAGAGATGTGGAAATAATCAAGGATGTTAAAGATACTATTGACTCAATGATTGATCAAGTACATAGGAAATTAAGTAACGAGAGAATGGTTGAAATAAAAAATAATATTAAGAGGAGAATAGTCCTGAAAGTATTCAAATTGTGGCATAATATCGTATTGAAAAACAAAAGAACACGGAAGGTGATGGAATATAGCCCAGTCTGGATTAATACAGAATCTCTTGAGCAATGTGCTGTAGGACTTCATATTCCATCTCGAAATTTAGCTCTTAGATTCATGGAACGGTACAAACATGGCAAACCTTTGGAAATCAGAATGATCGGAGATGACACTGTGAGTAAAATAAACATTTTTGAATTGACATACTCTGCATTAACAAAGCGATTATATGAGGTAACTGGCAAGTTTCACAAAAGTATATTTTGGAAAGTTTCAGTAAGTATTCCAAATGAGCAAGAAATAGAACAGGGGTTGGAGAGAATGGAACATGTGTTGAATAGGGTTTTTCAGTGGAAACAACAGAATGGTCGCACATACGTTATAGAACAAGTAAAACAAGATCATGTCGAATCAATGACATACTGCATTGAGAGACAAAAAGGCGAGGATGTGAATGTATATGATGCAAACGGCTTTATTTTTATAGCAAAAGATTTCAGCTATGATTTGCAGAGGAGAATTTGTGAAAACCTGAAAGGTTTCGGCGTGCTTACTAAGATACCAATTGTATTGATTCTTCAAAATTATGATAACACTGAACTCAAGCTGAATGCATTAATTGAACAAAAAGCAGTGTCAGAGTGTATTATTCTCGTAGAAAATATAACACAAAGTAGTCTATCTAATGCAATTGAAGAAGGACTAGTATTTCTAGCAAAAAGAGTTGAAAAATGTCCTCCTCTAGAACTGGATACATTTCATAACTTTTTATTGAGAAGTGTATGTTCCGAAATTTGGATAAGAGCTGAAAGTTTTGCCAAATGGAATTCCCAATATAAAACGTGCTTGCAAAATCCAAATGTAGTGATAAAATTGTACAATGAAGGTCTACAGAAATTGAAAAAAATTATATTGAATGAGTCTCTCAAAGAATATGCAGTATTTCCAAAAATGTTCACAGAATATTTGAGTAGCGATATTCCAGATTTTCTACCTTGTTCCTATCAGTATTTTCCTGAATTCTGGAACTCTCGACGCTATAAGAAAAAGTTGGAAAATCTATTTCTAGACTTGAGTTTGCCTCTTTGGCGGGAAACTTGGCCGTGTTATGATGAAGTAGAATTAGAAAAAACTGTTCGAAAATACTGTTGTGAGGTTTTTAGAGATCATGAGAAGGTATTCTATAAAGTTATGAGTATATTTCTAGAAACAGTGGATCCAGAAGTTAATTTTAAGGATATCACAAAAGTACTTTGGACAGATGTAATTGGAGTATTGGGAGTAGAAAAGATTAACGAAGTTGATACAAGTTTGAGAGACACCGAGTTTGAAAATAAATCTATATATAATCAATTTATCGTGGTTTATGATACGAGGGCCCTGAATAGCTTTAACTCTAATGATTGGTTTTATATTCAAAATCCAGTGATAAAATCTTTCATCAACCAAGAGCTGAAAGAAGATGAGAATCAACTAACTGAGAAAATCCAACCTAATGATCTTGAAACTCTAGAAGAAACATTAATTGTGACTGAAACTCGGTTGTCGATGCTAAAGCCAAATAAACTGAAGGTCATGAAAGATTTGGCAGACTTGAATGCATTATTACTGGATTTAGAGAACAGTATGGAGATTCATAAAAAAATTTCCTCAAAGTTAGACGAAAATTTGAAAAGTGCTATCGAAGATAACTAAACATTCCTTTTCCATTTTTATGAAAATTCCTCAAAATTGAATGGCAATTTGATGAAAGCCATTGAAGGTTACTGAACTGTTTCTCTTTTATCTTCAAATATAAAAGTTGACAATTAATATTTTTATTAAATTTGGGGTAGTAGTCCTAAACCCTCATATTTTTTTGAATGCATTATTTATAAGAACTAGATTCGATTCAAAAATTTAAAGTTTCCATAAATAAATAAGGTGTCCACTATTTGAGTTATGCACAAACATAAAGTTTCCAGAGAAGCATTATTCTATGGAAATATAGACAGCATTGTATTCTTGTTATGCTACTGTATTATCGTAACGTGTATCATCTTGAGCAATACCTACATTAAAAAAATACTTTGAGCTTTTTCAATTCGAGACTATTTGATTGTTAGTGAATTGATTGACACACCAAAAATAGGAATGTAGTTATGCAGAGCTTATTATTTCCGTTAGAAATAATTCACAATTTTCGTTTTCAGTCAGTGAATCTGTACTAATGTATCCTTAATGAAAATAAATTCAAAATTATTTTTAGGAAGTGGGTAGTTCCATTTGAGATTTTGAAGTTGAAGTTGCTATGGGTTGGGGGTATTATTTTTTTTGTTATGGTTCCCACGAAAAATGATATCCTGTAATGTTCAGAGAACATCGTGAGAACCAAAGGAAATTGGTGTTCTTCTCAAATTTCTGGAGGTTATATGCCTCGGGCAACACCTCCCTTGGCAATGTATTCGAGAGCCTCGCTGTTCGTATGAACATAATATCAAGTAAGTTCGACAGTCAGAAATTGAAAGGTGTAAAAGTTTCGTTGAAAGTCCCTGTATATATTCATCATATAGGCAGGTAGAGTGCCACCAAAAATAGGGTCTTTATTCGACAATTTTGTGCCTTTTTGAAAATTACTCAGATTATTGTACAGGATGATCAGTTAAGGATAGCGAGCGGCCATATCTCATAAGATATTGGTCGTATAGATATATGAGAAAAAAAGAATCATGATAAAAGTTGCCAAGAGAAATTGCTGGAAATCATTTTCGAGTTTGTCAAACGTCCGGTAGAGGGCGTAACAACCAACACCAAGTAGAAAAATGGGATTTTTATAGAATTTTGTCCCATGAAAGTATATCGATGATATCATTTTCATATTTACTGACCATTTCCCTACATTTTTTGTCAAAAACGTTTTGTTCTATCTATCAAAATAAAGCGGTGGGGGAAGTTCAATTGTTTTTTTAAACAAACCAAAGTTTCTCCCGTTTATTTCGACCGATTTTAGCAAAACTTATGCTCATATGAACGTCACATCAGAGAGAGGCCACTGAGCGAATCACCACTCAGTGACCTTCAATTTGCGTACCAAAGTGGTAGGGGTACTGACGCGGCTCTTCATCGACTCGTTCATAGAGTTGAGGAGGTGTTAGATCGCAAGGACGGGCCGGGATTGGCGCAGTGGAAGAGCGTCCGTCTCACGACCGCAAGGTCGTGGGTTCGATTTCCAGCACGGGCAAGGAACTTTTTTCAATATTTTATTTACGAATTAAATATTGTAAAGTTTCGGAGCATCGGCTGGGGATAGTCCTGCACGATTCGCTGTTGCGTTCCAATTAACAGTGCTGCTCCTAAAGTGGCGCATGGAGTTAGTAACAAAGCCTACACAGAACACGCAGAAAGATATGATGATGTGGTTGTGAGCATCAGAGAAGAAGTAGGACGGTGTATGTAGGTGGGTGTAGAAAACTACCAGCTGAGCGTGAGAGCGGGCCAGCTGCTTAAGTAGACCTCGGTCTCGGGGGTTAACGATGATAGTTAGCAAGCCTGTCACTGCGCATATGGTAGTGAGTACATGTATGTAGGTGGGTGTAGAAAAACTACCAGCTGAGCGTGAGAGCGGGCCAGCTGCTTAAGTAGACCTCGGTCTCGGGGGTTAACGATGATAGTTAGCAGGCCTGCCACTGCGCATATGGTAGTGAGTACATTACTAGCCTACAAAACACAGCTGAAAAACTCTGAAAAGAGAGCTGAGGGGCGGTGCCTGAAAAGGATGTTAGCCAGCTCTCTTGAGCGAACCACATCAGTCATTGAAAACACTTGGGGTTGGCAAAAAGGTCCCATTGGGGACTAGTTGCTGACGTGGAAACGTCCCCCACCAGTACCAGTACCAGTAGATCGCAAGGACTCTGCCCTTGGGATATTCATAGACATTGAGGGAGCATTTGACAATACATCATTTGACTCTATATGTCGTGCAGCGGAGGAGAGGGGTGTTAGTCCAATTTTGATAAAGTGGATACACGCACTCCTCTCGAGAAGGATAGTGAGAGCCACTCTTCAAAACAGCCTCGAGGAGGCCGTTGTATCAAGAGGCTGCCCGCAGGGAGGGGTGCTATCACCCCTTCTATGGTGCCTCGTCGTGGACGACCTCCTATCGAAGATACATAGCATGGGATACTATATCCAGGCTTACGCAGATGACATAGTCATCCTGATCGACAGTAGGGGGTTCACTCCCAGTCGGAGACAGGCACAACGGGCCCTGGACGGGGTGGACCGCTGGTGTCGTAGCACGGGACTAAGAGCTAACCCTGAAAAGGCGGAAGTAGTACTTTTCACCAGAAAACGCAAGGCAGGGGACCTCCCCGATATACGACTATCGGGCAAGTCCCTGCGGTATAAAGGCTCCACCAAATATCTAGGAGTCATTCTTGACTCTAGGATCAATTGGAACGAGCATATTGAGAGGAAGGTCCAGAAGGCTACGGCAGCGTTCTGGGCGTGCAGAAGGACGTTTGGGGGAACGTGGGGGCTCAAGCCAAGTATCCTTCACTGGGTGTACACCGCTCTCATACGTCCAATGATAACATATGGGGCCATCGTATGGTGGCCGGGGACGCTGACAGGCAAGTCGAGGAGTCAGCTCGACAGAGTTCAACGACTGGCCAGCATATCCATAACAGGAGCAATGAGGACGGCGCCGACAAGGGCGTTGGAGATTCTGACCGGACTGCCGCCTCTGAACCTGTATATAGAACATGAGGCGATGGAGGCTGCCGTTCGCTTACAAAGCTGTAACCAGTGGAGGAGCGAAGGAACATACGGACATTCTCGCCTCTGGAAGCAAATTACAGACGACTACCCCTCACTCAGTATGAAAGGGGACAGCATAACACCGATCATTCGATTCAGGAAAAGATTCCTACTAGGATAGACTGGGAACAGAATGGGCACTGCATAATACCCACCAAGGGCATCATCTGGTATACAGATGGCTCCAGGATGGAAGAATGCGCAGGTGCTGGGGTCTATGGGCAGTATCCAAGGGCAAATCACTGCTATACCCTTGGGAAACATGCCACGATTTTTCAGGCTGAAGTATTTGCAATACTTGCATGTGTTCGAGAGAATATCGAGAGGGGCTATCACAGCCAGCAAATCACTATATGCACTGACAGCCAGGCGGCGATCAAGGCGCTCACCTCGTATAGGGTGACCTCCGCCTTGGTGTCAGAGTGCATAGATAGCCTAAAAAGGCTGTCAGCAACGAACAAGGTATGTCTTTTGTGGGTCCCTGGACTCTCAGGGGTACCAGGTAACGAAATGGCCGATGGTCTGGCCAGAAAGGGGGCGAAAGGTTCAGTGATTGGCCCAGAGCCAATCTTAGGGGTCACTCGATCCTGGAGCAACTTCAAGATGAAGGAAATCCTGACGGAAAAGGTTCAGGACAGCTGGAGAAAGGCTCCTCGAATGAGGCAGTCCAAACTCCATATAGGTAACCCGTCACGAAGATAGACCAATGCCCTCTTGGCTTTGAACAGGAAGGAGCTGAAACTGGTGGTGGGCCTGCTGACAGGGCACTGCCACCTGAACAAACATCTCAGCATGATCGGGATTGTGGAGGATCCAGAATGCAGATGGTGCCTAGAGGATGAAGAGACTTCTACTCACATCCTCACTGAATGCCCGGCAATAGTGGCAACAAGGGATATCCATTTTGGGAGCAGTATCCTGGACCCAGAGGATGTTAAGAAGATTTGGCCTAGGAAGTTGGTCTCTTTTGCTCGCGAGATCGGCCTTCTCCATGGCTGACTTGCGATCCCAGGAATGTGGGTGCACAATGGGCCCGAAAAGGGAGGCCTAAGTGCGTCAGGTCCCGGACCGCCCACACACATACATACACATACATGCTCATATGAAGGAGCATAATTAATTAATTGATTATAATAACGCTCATTTGGTTTTGAATTTTTGACTTTTGCTGTCGCCGTTGGATGGCGTTAACGGAAATGTAAGCAAATTTTTGAGTTAAAAAAAAAAGAGAAAAAAAAAAAAAAACAAATGAAATGGTATACTAATTTTTATACGTTTTGAAGGAGGATAAATTTCTCTACAATTTATGCTAAAGGTGTCGTGGTGCTCGAAAACCTCGAAATTTTTTTAACAATATCGGTTTTCAGCCCGAAAGTTCTATTGGATTGCTTCCAAAAGGAGAAGTAAAAAACTACATTTTTTTAAAGCTGGATAAATTCCCTACGATTTCACTTCCATTCCTTTTTTTTGTCCGTCACATCCAAAGCTACAGAACCTCCAAACCTGTCTTTATTTTCAAAAAGTTGAAAATTTCAGTATTAGCCCTCATCTAACCAAAATACCGGCTATAATACTCATCCTAAGAGGAGAGATTTGATGAAAGCTCATAATCGAGCAACAAAGAATTTTTTTAGAAATGGAACCTGACGATTATATTTGCCTACACATACATTTACTTTAGTTTCTAGTGTGCTTCAAACAATTCCGCAAATATTCCTTCTATCTTATTTCTACTAGTGGAAGCGCTTATGTAAAAAAAAGCAGTCGTGTGCTTGGAATGATCAAAGCCAACGACATATCTCAAATGTCAGTACACATATGATATAGAACGTCTCACCACTTCTTGGCCACCCCAGAAACGCGTCGTTCACCCCCTGCAACGCTTTGAAAGGTGAACTATTCAAATCACTATGTTTCGATTACTATTTGAACCAAAGACTTCGTTCAAATGCTCGAATATTCATATTTTGAATATAAATAACTTTTATGATCGCCATTGTACGGGTTAGGGTTGTTTCACAAATAAGGCAAATGCAAAGGTCCGTTGGACAGTTTATTCTCAGCATACACCAATCTAAAATTGCGTAATCACATCAGTCCCGGCACATTACCTAACCTCAAACAAGCTTCACATATCAGTCTCCAGAAAGGAATAGTAGAAGAAGAGAGACTCCTATACATAATTCAACAGTTACACCCAAAGGCTTTTAGATTGCTCAATGCGCATCAAAATGACTTCTCACAGCCTTATACGAAGTCCAAGCTTCAGCAGCAAGATCTTCGAGTTTGCAGGACAAGACGGCGCAAGAACCTACTGCGACTATCA